TGAAAGGGAATGGCATTGTGGCTGCTTGGTCCACCTATGTTGGGGTGAACCTAGCCCCAACTCCCTTACCTCTGGTAACAAACAGGAGCCAAGGTATGATATTCTAAACCAGGGGATAAGATGATTCCAGCCACAATCCTATCAAGGATGAACATGTGACCGGCATCCTCTCAGAAGGGTGGGGTCTCCCTACAATGGTTTCTCCTTCTGTCCCATCCTTTGGACCAAGATTAATCATACTAACAGTATTGTTTCCTGGGCACACATGTTTGCCAATGTACCCCAACCATCACACTGTTGGCTGTGTACTGAACTCCCAACCAATGCAGCTGAGAGCCTCCCATGAAGAACTGCTCTGGCATTTTTATTCAATTGGACCAACATCGTAATATCACATTTGGGTAAGGAAATCAACTAGTGACAACTGAGCAATACACTTTTAATCATCCTCATGAACTAGTGAGGATAGCACTTCCATAACAGCCTCACTTCAGCCCTATTTCAGGTGATAAACAGGAAAGCAGTTGCTTCAGGCTTCTGCTCTGTTCCCACACCTACAAATACAACATTTCTTGGAGATGCATGTTTAAGGGGCACAAGAACCTCAGTGAACCAGTCTTGTTTTGCCTCCTGTTCAGGACGCCAATTACTACAAAGACCAGTTTTGCAAAAAGGAGAGAATTTAGGGTTTGGTTGTAGCTCAGCTGGTGAGCACTTGCCTTGTATGTATAAAGCTTAGATTCCACCCACAGCACTGCAAAGAGTTTACTCACAGAGTGACCAAGCATGAGTACGGACAGGAGACCTGAGGCTCGAATCTGTCTCTTCAGGGATAGAACTGAGAGGCATTTCTGGGATACAGAAACAGGGTGACTGAAGATGTCAGGAAAGGTGACTAGAGATAAAGTGACAGCATCAGTGATCTGTACATGTGTAGTAAAACTTCATGACTCTTTCCTGAATGCATATTTTAAAAACTACAGATTCTCTGACACATGGTCAGTGGTTTTCAAGTCAAAAGTGTCCTCCAAGTTCCTGGAAAACAATTTAGGCAACACTTGCCATTGTGACCATGGTCCCAGGTGTTATCTGTAGCAAAGGTGAATAAAAGTATATTGCTCAGTTGTCACTAAAAGTGAGTCACTAAAAGCGAGGAAAACTAGAAGGCTTATTCAGGTTTTCCCTCAGTTTTACCAACTGTTTTGAGGACTGGCCATTTAGCCTTTTAGGCATAGTAGTCTTTTGGTTGTCAGTAAAAATGTCAGAATTATCAAGAGAAATTAATCTTAGACACTGTAGCTCAGTTCGTGTCTCTTATCAAACCCTGATTCATTTAAACAAAATGAAATAATAACAGCTATAGTAGTCTTCATTGTCATCATCATAATGTATTTTTAATGTGATCCTTAATTGCAAATTGAAGCTCAGTTCCCACTTGCTCATTGTTGAAAGACTTGCTAACGACGCTCTCCGTTTGCATGTTACACAGCCCATGTTCCCAGCCATCCTCACCGCGATCACAATACCTCTGCAGTGTGCTGCCTCCTTATTTCCAGAGAGCTCTAAATCACAGCTTCCACTGATGGTGAAGCATCAATGAAATGAATTAATTTATCTTTGAAGATTGTCTTTTGATTAAAGGCCATAAGTCTTTTGCCATTTGCTTGATTAATCGACTGTCTTTGGCTACTGAGTTTTTAAAATTGCTTTTAAGAAGAGACAAGTATACAACATTCTATGTAAAACTAAGCATTTGTCTTTCTTTCAGTTTCCATTAAGCACATATGTTGAGCTGCTTGATAAAGACCAACCTGGACCTGGAAGGCAGATGTCTGTATAGATTGTTAGGGTTTCTGTGGGCAGTAATGTCAGCAATGTAGAGAACTGACACAAACAGTGGGCTCCCAATGAACATTAGTCCCATTCCTCTGGGGTTGCCAGAATTAGTAAAAACTTTTAAAACTATGCAGTGTCCAGTTAACTTTGAATCTGAGGTGATCAAGAAAAATTTTTTAGTGTAAGCATGCCCCAAATATTGCATGGAACATACTTAGGCTTAAAAAGCTATTCATTGCTAATCTGATATTCACAGGTAACAGTGTATTCTTTATTTCAGGATTTAGCAAACCAAATCCTTCTCCTAGTTTTCAGCTCCTAGTCTTCTTTTCCAAGAACCAAATTTTGCCCCTAATTTCTCTAATAAATTTGTTTAAGAAAATTGTGCAGGAACTTCAGGGCATTTTTCCTCTTTTTTTCCTATAATATCATAAGAATTTCCACTAATTTAGGCAGGAATTAGATTTTGTAAAAAGCGTTGCAAATACAAAACCTTTTCACAACAAGTAATCTACTGCTGAGCCCAAAATGGTGTTCAGCGTATTTATCAGTCAAATGAATGAATGAATGAACGCCTAGACAAATAGTTCTTATCTCCAAGTGTTACAGGTATTGAGAACTAGGTAATCTGATTTTGGCTATCTGGAACAATTTCTGTTAGGTGAGACCATGGAAGAAAAATACATAAATATGGGTATAGTAGGATGAAAATGACCTTCTTCCACGTATCTACATCTTAATTTCCAGGGCCTGAAAATGTACTAGTTTGCATGGAAAAAGGGACTTGGTGAATGTGATTTAAAATAAGGATCTTGAGATATGGAGATTAATATAATCACAGGGGTCCTTCCAGGAGGGAGGCAGGTGTGATCATGAAATAAGGGAGAGAGATTGGATAATGTTACACTGCTGGTTTTCAACATGAATGATGTGGCCAAAGGTCAAGAAGCTGGAAAAGTGAAAGAAATGGACTCTCCTCCCCATTTCCAGAGAGAATGGGGCCCTGAACTCCTATTTTAGACTTCTGACCTCAAAGGCAACAGATTTGTTTGAAGTCACTAAATTTTTGGTAATTTGTTACAGCAGCAATTGGTAAATAATACAAGGGGAACATAATGAGCAAACAGAGATTTTGGTGAGCTAGCAGCATGCCTATTTGGGAAAATTCCCAGAGGTTTATTTGGGACCAATAAAAAGGAGAAGCACCCAAGAAGGCTAGAAATTGGCAAATGGACCAATAAAAAAGGTAAAAAACACAGAAACTGGCAGATTCCCAAGATCTGATGAGAGTGGGTATATGAATTTGCTAGGGTTATTGTAATAAAGTACTATGCCTTGGAGGGTTTAAACAATGGAAATTTATTTTCTCACAGTTCTGGAGGTTAAGAAGTCCAAGATCAAGGTTAGTTTGATTCTGAAGCTTTTCTCTTTAGCTTGTAGATAGCCACCTTCTCACTAGTTCCTCCTGTAGTCTTTTCTCTGTGTGAAAGGGTGACCCCTGTGTCTTTTATGTTTCTTCTTTTGAGACTGGGGATTTAGCTCAGCAGCATAAGCGCCTACCTGGCAAGTGTGAGGTCAAGGTCATGAGTTTGGTCCTGGTATTTAAAAAGAAAAAAAGTTTCCCTTCTTTTAAGGACACCAGGCAGATTGCATTAGAGGACAACCTAATAATCTTATTTTGACTTAGCCATTTCTTTAAGGGGTCTATATGCCAAAACAATCACATTCTGAGGTACTGAGAGTTTATACTTTCAATATATGAACAGGAGTGAGGAGACACACAATTCAACCTATAATGGGGTGGATAACACAAGAAGTAGTCTAGAAAATAACTTGTTAGTCCTCCCAGATAGGAGACACAGCAATATGACAATTCAGTGCAATACAAAATGGTCTAGGACCGGCTGTCAGACAGGAGACAGGGACTTTCCGGCAATAATTTGACTAAGGTCTGTAGATTAGGTAACAGTATTACATCTGTGCTTATTTCTTTGTTTTGTACTATGGTTATGTAAGATGTCAATATTTGAAGAAGCTTGAGTGAAGAATATAGGAGAACCCTTTATACTATTTTCACAATTTTTTTTCTAAGTCTGGAAGTATTTCAAAATTAAAACTTACAAATTTAGCTGGGCATCCCTCAGAGTATTGTAATCCCAAGATTTGGGAGCCTAAGAGTTCTAGGCCAGCCTGGCCTACATAGTGACTCAAGGCCAGCCTGCACTACACAGTGAGACCCTGTTTCAAATCAACAAAACGCAACAACAACAAAAAGAGCTAGAAATCTAAGAATTAAGTAAAACAGGGGCAGGAGGGACCGAGTTAAATGTCACCATGAAGAAGAAGAACAATATGGCAGGAATAGAAGTAAGGAGAATACAATGTGCAGAAGGTCAGAGATTTTTCCGGTTGTCTCTGACCCCTTGTGTAGGTATAGAGTCTGAGACCTCAGCATTTGCTTTGGGAAGTGTTGATCGCTGAGGCTCAAGTGAAAGAAGGAAAGGCTTCGGGTACAGCTGGCCTCATCCCATATTCATTAAAAGCCTAAGTTTAATTTTTTTTTTTTTTTTTTTTTGGTCTTTCTCGTTTTTATCAGTACCAGGGATCGAACTCACGACTGCCTGCTTACAAGGCAGGCGCTTATGCCGCTGAGCTAAATCCCCAGCTCCCCTAAATTAAATTTTTGACATTCTCCAAATGAAGTGACACAATCGGAATATTGTGTATTGAATATTGAATATTGAAAGAGTGCTTTCTTTGTGTACAAGCTTTTAAAATAGATTGCCATTTTGCTACCTGAAGGTCCCCCCTCCTCCTTTAAAGATAGAATTCATGTGTCACAGAAAGTCAGTTTTAAAGAATACAATTCAATGATTTTTCATATATTCACAAAATCATGCAACCATCATCCCTATCTGATCACAAAACATTTTCATCACTGCAAAAGAGAACCCTACACCCCGGTTGCAGTTATTACCTTCTCGAATTACCCAGCCCCTGACCAAGACTAATCTACTTTCTGTCTGTATCTGTTTACTCTGGATATTTCATGTAAATACATCCAAGCACCATGTGCGCTAGGCTCATTGCAAAGGCTCAGCCCCCTGCCCTCCATTGGACGCGAGGGCTGGTGCGCGCCGAGCGCCCAATAGCTCTCGAGCATCTGCAGACGCAGGTGGAGGTGGAGGCTGCAGCGGCCTCCGCGCGGTGCGGGAAGCCGGCGAGCAGGCATGGCAGGCTGGTGGCGGGCGCTGCAGCGCGTCCCCCTGCGCTACCCGTGGCCCACCAATGTGCTGCTCTACACCGGGCTCTTCTCGGCAGGCGACGCGCTGCAGCAACGGTTGCAGGGCGGCCCGGCCGACTGGCGCCAGACGCGGCGCGTGGCCACCCTGGCCGTGACCTTCCACGGCAACTTCAATTACGCGTGGCTGCGCCTGCTGGAGCGCGCGATGCCGGGCCGCGCGCCGCGCGTCGTCCTCACCAAGGTGCTGTGCGACCAGCTGCTTGGAGGGCCCATCGCGCTGTCAGCCTTCTACGTGGGTGAGGGGCCTAGGAACCTGGGGACCTGGGAGTGATCCGCGGAGGTTGGAGGGGTTGGGGTGGGGTGGGGTGAAGTGGGGTGGGGGACACTGCTGGTGCACTGAAGTAGGAGCCGGGAGTTCAGGGAACCAGGGGCGGGACCTGGAGGTCTGGGCACAGGGCTTGGGGGACTGAGGACTGGGGACTGCCCACCGAAGGTTTTGAAAGGAAGAAGTTGGGTAGTGGAGGAACTGGGGAACCGGAAGTCAGAGGTCCAGGTGACTCAAGTCAGAGCTGAGAAGCTGGGATTGGGCAGAGTCCAAGGCTGGGGCCTAAGTGCAGCCCGCGGGATATATGTTTCCATTTCCCCCTGAAAAATATACACTGGAGATCCTAACCATACCATAGAACTGCAGTCCTGAGGCCCCCCTTGTCCTGTGAAAAATCCCCACACCAGTAACATGTGGCAATCACTGACCCTGCAGGTCACAGTGGGTAGAACTTAAGGTAGGGACTGATTACTCAGAAAATTTTTCCCTTGGATCCTAGGCCTTTTTTGGTCATAAAATTTGACTGAGAGGATTTTATACCCACGCTGGACCCTGTTCTCAGAAATTCCACCTTGCAGCTGGAAGGACTGACTTTGGGAACCTTCCCTATGCCTGATTACCAAGAACGACAGAAGGGCCTCAACGCTTCTGTTATTTTAGCAATTTCTATAGCCTTGAAGAAGGTGCATAACTGGGGAGGAGTACTTACTACCTTAGAGAGTCTCTGGGGTTTGGGGTCTGATCTTGGCATAGGGGATCACAAGTTCTCCCCAAAATGGGAGAGAACGCTCGCAGTAGCTGTTGGTGCCTTCTAAAACAGGTTGAGGGCAGGCGAGCCACCATTTTGAAGACCCTTACCAGCCCTGTGGAACTTATTTGAAAGAAGGTGTGTTCTGTTCCTTTCACTGTGTGATTGATGGGTTCAGGGGGGTTAAGAGAACAGATGGCCAGAGAACAGTGGTCTCCTGATATGTCCAGAGTTTGTGCCTCGTCCTAGTCCCGACCAACTTTATAAACAGGATCTTGTACCTGGTTACTGCAGCTGCCTTGTACACTGGTGAAGGGTCTGGAAACCCGTGGTGGAGTAGGGCCTAGACTCCCATTAATCTTCAGGCAACCAGAGAGACAGATGCTCTCATTGTTTCCATGTTTCAAGGAAACTGAGACTTGAGTTGTGCAGTTTTCCCAAAGGTGGCACAGTCTAGGGCTCTATACCTGTGATTCAAGCCGGAGCCCCTTGATATGGATTCCTTCCCAGACTGCTGCTTTGTTTGGCTTTTCGGATTTCTGGCCCAGTTTCCCTGCCCTCATGTTACAAGGAAAGGAGAATGGTGGAGAGTGGTGGGTTGGATGTTTGTTTAAGACACTAGTTGGTGTTGGGTGAACCAGGCTTGTGCCAGGGCCCATCTGGGGGCCAGACGAACAGGGGATTAAGAGGCTGGCTTAGAAACCAGATACCTGGGCTGGATTTTTTTGCTATGAACTCCACAGAAGATCTTTTCTTCTTTTTAATTCTATCTACTTCAGCAAATTGTTTAGGGGAATTCAGATGAAATGGTATACATGAAGTGCTTAGTTTTTAATTAGTGCTTGGTAAGTGGAAAGACAGTATTACTAATGTTTTCTGGGTTTTCTTGTGAATCTTGTTCTAAAAATGTCTTGCAATTAATCAATAAATTCTCATCTCCCTCCCTCCTACTCAGGGATAGGAGTTTTTGACTTTTTGTTTTGTTTTGTTGTTTAAGACAGGGTCTCATCATGTGGTTCTGGCTGAGCTTGAACTCACTGTGTGGCTCACACTGGCTTCAGAGTCACGGTGATCTTCCTGAGGCAGGGACTCAGCATCCTGGGCACAGGTATCTGCCACCATGCCCATCTGGGAGAAAATTTTTTAAGCACTCATTTTTATACCTTGTTAAAACAGAATTTTGTCCTTAATCCCCATATTTCTTTTCAGAGATGTTGAAGGTGAATGTTTTCAAAGTGTTTTTCCAATTTTCCACTTTAGGAATGAATGATAAATTGGGACTCTGCATTCCACCTCTGATTAGAATAATGCCAAAAGGAAATTTGCCAGAGTATTATAGAGTTCATCAGCCTTTTCTAAAAAAAAATGAAATTAAGACGGAGGTGTAGCTCAGTGATACAGGGGTTGTGCTTAGTTTAATGAAGCCCTGGATTCACACCCAGGGGGAAATTCTCACACACACACACACACACACACACACACACACACACACAGAGTCAGAAATGAAATGTTAAAAATCTTAACATTTCACAAAAATTGGGAGGGTAGAAAAAAGTCACCTGTAAACTCACTATCTTAATGTAGTTTTTGTATTTTTTATAGTTTTTTCTTTGTTGGTTTAAAACCAGTCTGTGATAACTTTTGTATTCTCTTAGTTTTCTTCATGTTTTTCATGCCTTTAAAACTTATCTAATTTTGGAATAGAGATTTTTTCTTTTCACTGTTGGGTCAAAAGGCATCTAATGAGAAATGATAGTGGCAGGTACTTTGCAGTTTGGAATGGGAAACTGGAACATAAGTCAGTGTAGCAATCTTCCTGCTTAATTTTTTTTTTCTTCCTGCTTAATATTTAAAAATGCTCTGGTGTGTGTTTTTGCAAATAGGTATGAGCATTCTCCAGGAACAAGATGACATATTCTTGGACCTGAAGCAGAAATTTTGGAATACATATAAGGTAAGATAGGATTTTGAAAATGTATATTTGTATATTTTTAACATCAAATACATTTTAATACTCTATTCTTAAATTAGGCTCCAGTTTGATAAGCCCAAGAGTTTAATATTTTGACAAAAAGATCTTGAAAAAATACTGTTTTGAGACAGAGTCTTACTATGTTGCCCAGGCTTGCCTCAAACTCTGCTTATGTGGTCTTTTTGCCTCAAGCAACTGAGACTTCAGGTATATACCACTTCACCTGACTTATTTTAGTTGATGAATTAGAGGAGATTTTAGGAATGACTGTACTTCTCATGGTTTGGAAAGAAGTCATATCTCTGCATTTTAGCCAATGTTTGCAATGATTTGTGACTTTACTGTACTTAGTCTTGTCAGCAGTCACTACTTGTTTATTTCCTTTTTTTTTTTTTTTGAGACAGAGTCCTGCTATATAGTTCAGGCTAGCCTTGCACTCACTGTGTAGCCCAGGCTGGCTTGGAACTTGTCGTCCTTCTGCCTCAGTCTCATAAGTGCTGGGGTTACAGGCCTGGTTTGTTAGCAATCACAACTTATTTTGTAAATTTTCATCTACAAAATAGAAATTGTAGAATGAGTGGCTTAATGAAATCATTCCCACATTCAGAGCCAGCATTTCTGGGTACACATCCTGCTAAGTCCCTGTGAAAAGAATCTTCTTAATGACACATAGGTATGCACAAAGATAAGGTTTCCCAGGGTTATTATTCTGCTGAAAGCAGTTGCCTGCTCTATTATTTGTTCATTACAAATACCTACAGTTCAGTCCAACAAATTATTTATGTATTGAAGTTGCTTTGAATAGTGTCCATAAGGTCTGGCAGAATCAGGTATGTTTTTCATCTTTGGCCCAGGGTGTATTTGATTTTGTTAATAACAATTAGATGTTAAGGGGCTGGGGATTAGTGGCGTAAGTGCCTGCCTGGCAAGTATGAGGTCATGAATTTGATCTCCAGTACCAAAAATAAATAAATAAATAAATAAAATAACAATTAGGTGAATTTTCTGGACAAAAGCAGTGTGAGGGGGCTGTGAGAGTGTTGCTCAGTGGTACAGCATGTGTTTAGCATGTATGAGGCTCTTGGTTGTGCCTCAGTGCGCTCACGCATACACACACACACACTCACAGAGACACACACTGTCATGGTTACTTTTTTCTTGTTGCTGGGACAAAATACCCAATCCCCAAAATGAAGGAAAGAAGGTTTATTTAACTCACAGAGGTGTCAGTCTGTCCTCAGTTGGCTCCAAGGCAAAGTGGCACATGGTACACACACAAACACACAATCAATGTGACATGGACTGGTTGCCTCACTGCTTCTGGCATCTTTTGCTGAATGAGCTCCAGAACTTACATCACTTACTTGGTAGTTACAGGCAGGAAGATCTGAAGCTCAGGTTTCTCCTGAGGGGAACAATTGTGATAGCCCTCGATACCCCAGGACAGTTTCGACAAGGGAAGAGTGTTCAGAACTTTCATTGGAACAAAAATTGTGGGCCCATGGTGATATCCCAATGTGATATTCTTCTGCTTTAATTTGGAAAAAGAACAAGGTTTCCACATCAGAAGGCTTATGCAGATATATACATCTGAAATTTAACAAATGAATAAGAAGTAGAATTAGGAAAGAAGGGATTGTAGGAAGGATTTGGAGATGTTTTGGAACCTCATTTCTTAGTGTAAATATGTAGGCTGAAATTTGACAGAAACTTGGAAACCTTTGCATCCTTATTTACTTATTTATTTTGTGATACGATCAAAGGCAGGACCTCATACATGTTAGGCAACCACTCTACTACTGAGCTATACCCCTAGCTCTTCTCTTTTAGGAAATAGTGGTTGTAATGAATTAGCCTTATCTATACCCATGAGAAGAAAAGGGACTACTAACAATCTAAAATCTAGCTCCATTTAGTGACTTCTGAAGATCACACTATCTTCCAAGTGCTGTACTAGATGTTAGTGACAGATTAAAAAGAACAAACACTTATAAACAAATTGTATCCTTAAAGAACTTACAGTCTAGTGAGCTAGACAATAGGTGAGCGATGAACTGGCATGCTATGAGAAATGCTGTAGGGTCCCAGAGCAGGGGGGCACTTAGCACAGCATGGAGGTGTGGGGTGAAGTGCAAGGAAGGCCTCCTGGTCAGACGACGCCCTGGCTGAGGTCCCTCTTGCCCATACTGGGGACTGAACTCAGCTCCTTTGTACTTAGCTACATCTTTAGCGCCCCCCCCCCTTTCCAAAATAAAATCAATTTAATGGTAGACCTTCACCCCAAGGCTGCAACACAAAGAGGGGAGCCATTTGCTACCGTGTCATTTGCAGTGCCTGTTGTTGCCATGGAGGGGTAGCTCAGGAGCTGTTTGGCACTTAGGTGAGTGAGAGCATGAATAAAAGCACCTTCAGAGTTCAACATCATAGGACCCTCTCAGTTTAGTCCTTACTGTTGGATACCCCAATTCTGGTGAATCCTGCATTAGTCTCTAGAATAAATAATTTTTCTTTGTTCTATGGTACCCTGCCTTGTGTCAGCTGTCAGAACTTGGACCCAGCGTGAGATTCTAAACTAGCCAGAGTGGGGCTTGGTCTGACCGCATGGCCAGATGTGCCTTCTATGACTGTGTGCACGGAGCCCACAGGGCCCAGGATATGGCTTCTCTGGTTTGTCACGTGGCTACAAAGGCACAGATGAGAGTTTGCATTTTTCCTTCTTCCCTGTCCCCAGAGTGTCTATATTTTGGGTTGATTTATACTTGTGCATATTCAATTTTCAGTTTTCCCCCCTTTGCCATCTTTTCCCTCACCTCCACAACGCTCCCTCTTTTTTAAGAAACAAATTGCTGTACAGTGTGAAAAAAGAATAAGATATGGACTATATGAGTTGGGGAGCAACTGGGAATGAATTTGGATCTTGGAGAGTGTTAAATGCCATGGTGAGGATCTTGAACTTAAGTCTTCAGTAATAGCAGCAAGGGACAGTGACTGTAAGCAAGTTTACATAAGAAAGAAGGAAGAGGGGCTTTAGAAATAACTTGAAAAGCAGTGTATTTAGGAGCTAGGCACGGTGGCACATGCCTGAAATCCCAGTTCCTTATGAGGCTGAGGCAGGGAGGTTGCAAATATGAGATCAGACTGGACAATTTAACAGGGCCCTATCTTAACAATACAAATTAAACAAATAAACAAATACAAAGAACTGGGAATGTAGCTTAATGGTAAAGTATTTGCCTAGCATGTGCAAGGCTCTGGGTTCAATTTTTAGTACTACCAAAAAGAAAAAACAAGGCAGATTTTGATGATTGATTGACAGTGATGATGAAGGCCAAGGGCATGGAATGACCTGTAGTTTTCTGGGTTGAGGAACAGTATGTGCAGGGGGACCTCATGTGAGGATCAGTGGAGGAAAGGGAGCCAATTTGAGAGAAAAAATGAGTTCAGTTTGGAAAATGTTGAGTTTCAGACACCTTAGATTATTCTAAGGGAGACTTCCAGATGCACAGAGACAAGTTCAGAGGTAGAGGAGTTAGACACTGGAGAATTTGGGTTCAAAAGAGGCTCTCAGTTCAGATTTGATCAAAAAAACAAAAAGCACAAATTTTGGGAGGCAGAAGAAAAGTAACTCCCACAGAGAGTCTGCTGCACAAGGCCATCTTGTACCCCAGAAGAGCATGAGGGCGTTGGTTGGTTGGTTGGAGGGAGCCACCCTCTGCCCAGTCTCCCTGTTTTGAGAAGGTGGGAGGGATGTGGCTAGTTTAATTGTCATTTAGGTGTAAGTAGCGCTTGAGTTCTTTTGTGTTTCATTTTTGTTCTTAATTTTGCACAGGGAGCATGCACTCTGTCTCCTCTCATAGCTGCAGTGTAGAGCTCAGATGTATTTTCTCTCAGGAAAACATCTGATATTACATTCTTGTATAGTGTTTTAAAATTTTTATTTGAAAATAATTTAAAACTTACAGAAAGTAACAAGATAGTCTGCAGAGCATCCACCTGCTCTTCACCCATATTTGCCTGTTATTAACAGTTTTCCCTGTTTGCTTCATTGTTTACTTGCTTTGCATCTCCATCCATCCATCCATCTACCTACCCATCCCTGCATGCAGACGCTACCCAACTGTCTACAATGGCTTCCTGAATCATTTGACAGTAAGCTATACACAGATTTTCCCTAATCCCAGATACCTAAGTATCTAGTTTCTAAGAACAAGATATTTTCTTATGTAACTACAGTTATAGATATATAAATATGTATACACTGTGTACATGTATGTGTGAATACTTACACAATACAGTTCAGCCCCCAAACATTTGAGTTGGAAACTTCACAGATGCAAACTGACCTTGCATTTAGGAACATTCCTAGATGTGAATGAATTGCAGAAACAGCTCGTGTGTCTGCCAGACATTGTCACAATTGTGTTTCTGTGTACTTAAAAGTAAAAAAAATAGTTTACCTACAGTATTTCTGTGTATGTATTTTTTTATGCTTTACATTGTCTATCTGTGTCAGAGGTGTAGAAGACTCACTCTGTGGGACTTATGAACAAGTTCTGTTCCAGGAGAATATTTGTTAAGTAGGTTTTAGGATATATATAATATGTATATATCAGGAAAAGAAAAACTTGTATAAATATTTTAATACTAAATTTATTGAGACATGAGATTAATGCAAGTTAATTTTGGCCTCTACAGTTATAAGAGGTGCTCAAAGTGATGACCATTAGCTTTCAGACATTTATTAGTATATGAACTGTTTTGTGTATATATTTTTTTGGTTGTCTTTCTGTATATTTGTGGTTGTTTGTTTGTTTGTTGAGACAAGGTCTTGCTATATAGTTCAGAATTGCCTTGAACTCACTGTGTAGTCCAGACTGGCCTTGACTTTGTGGCTATCTTCCTGCCTCTGCTTCCCAAGTGCTTGAATTATCTTGCATCTCTACACCCACCTTCATAGTTCCATATGTTATGTACTTAGCAATTCCAATAAATTTAACATGAACTGGGCATAGTGTACATACCTGTAATCCCAGCACTCCCAGAGCCTGAGGCAGGAGGATCGGCAGTTCAAACCCTACCTGACAACTTGTGACTTGGTGAGATCCTGTCCCCACAAAGATCTGGGTATGTAACATATAGCTCAGTTTGAACATCCTGAGTTCACACACACACACACATGCAGCAGCAGCAGCAGCAGTAACTGGCTAATACTTTATTATACCATCTATCCATTTCTCTAATTGACCATGTAATGACCTTTTATTGTATCATTTCTTTTCCTTGCAGTATAAGATCCAGTGTAGGAGCAGAAATTGCATGTACTTGTCTTGGCTCTTTAGTCCTCATTAATCAGTGCCATTTTGTAGCCCTTTTACTTAATATATAATAGTAGTATTTTTGAAGAATAGAGTCATACACCCTTTAAAAAAAGGAAAGCTTTTATTTCGGGAAGTTTGTCTATTTCTCATGATTACATTCAGTTATACATTCCTGACTGGAATACTCCACGGATGGTGAGGACAGTGAGGTGTCCCCACTGTCGCTTTGGAAGGTGCATGTTGCCTGTCAGCACCGATGGAGACACTGAGCATTTGGTCAAAGTGTTTAGTTTTTCCATTATATAGTTACCTTCTTTTCCCCCATCTTGAAAGAAATATATAATCCATTGTGACGTATATTCTAAGACCATGCATATAGACAGAATGTACCCCATCTAGTAGTTCTTTTTCTGCTTGTTTTGTTCCTGTTTCTGAGACAGGATCTCACTTTATAGTTCAGGCTGCCTCTGAACTACTATGTAGCCCAGACTAGTCTCAAACTCACAGCAAGCCTCCTGCCTCAGCGTCTTGAGTGCTGGGAGCCACCGTATTTCTGCATCCATTTCTGATTCTGCCTGTGCTGCTCTGTGCTGTTTTGATGGGATGCCCATGGTGAGTTAGTTTCTACCTCCTGCCCTGGTCCCCCATATGCCATATGACACTTGGTATTCGCCTATGAGCTTGAGCCCACTCTTCTCTGCCAGGTGTTTCTCTTTCTGTTAACGTGGATTTAGAGATTCTTATTTTTTTCAGTTGCTTATAATTCACTGCTGTGGTTAATTATTTTTGGTGCTCAAATCTCCCAGATTTGACCAGTGAGAGGCCCTTCAGGCTGGCTGTATGTCATTGTGACATCCTCTGTTTCTTTTCTTTTTAAAAAACAAAACAAAACACTTCCTTATTTTGTAGCATAACAAGATGTTCCGGGCTTGTCTTGTACTTTGTACTTGCCCTGATCTAGCCCTAAATTAGCATTTCTTGTAAAAGTTCTGGTTCCTTTTAGTGGGAATGGTGTAAAAGATAAAGATGAAGCAGTGGGTTCTTCTGCATTCTGGCAAGAAAAATAATGGCCAAAGTAAAGCAGAGTTTACACAGGCTTAGCCTTCTGATTATTTTTTGCTGAAGTATTAACTTCTTACATGAATTTATACTTTAAATATAAAATATATATTATATGTAATACTTAAGCATAAAATATATATTACAACAAATTGCAACTGTTTTAGAAATTTAAGAAAATACAAATTAGGGAAAAAACCAAGTCCTAATACCACTTTAAAAGACTTTTTTAAAAAATCTGACTTTTTTTTTTGAGATACGGTTTGCATACAAAGACCTTGATTTTTTTTCAATAGCCCATAATGATAGCCAGGTGCAGCACACACCTGTAACTCTCAGCTACTAAGGAGCTCAAGGTGGGAAGATCATGTAACCACTGGACCAGCCTGGACCACATAGTGAGGTCCATTTTAAAGCAATACATAAATATGTGTAGTTATTTCTAAATAGTTGTTTTACACAATTGGTGTTGATTCTGTTCAGCTTTTCCTTTTGTACTTATGAATATAACTAAGAAAAATGTCATACACCTACCAGTAATAGCTTTTCCACAACTCTGTTCTCTTCTACTCTAGATGTCTTAAGCAGTCTTAATCAGCTTAGTCTGAAATATATCACCTGGGCACCCTAGCTGCCTGGTATTTCTTAATCTTTAATGGAATGAACTGCACGTTTGTTTTGTATGATTAAAAAGCATTGTAATAGGTATTTTTCTTTTTAAATTTATTGCAGACTGGTCTGATGTACTGGCCTTTTGTGCAGGTGAGTTTCAAACTGAGGTTGGGAGTGCGGCTCAGTGGTCAAGCAGTTGCCTGGCACGCGTGAGCTCTTGGGCTTGGTCCCCAGTGCTGTAAAAGAAACAGCCTTAGTTAGAAGGCAAACTTCATGGCTTTGACTTCTGTCCACCTCTAACAGACTCCCTCTGTTCCAGCTGACCAACTTCAGCCTCGTTCCTGTGCACTGGAGGACAGCTTACACTGGACTCTGTGGTTTCCTCTGGGCCACTTTCCTTTGCTTTTCTCAGCAGACCGGGGATGGCACTCTGAAGTCGGCCTTCATTCTCCTCCGTGCAAAGGCAGCTGGTGCAGTTGAGAAATCTCCCGAGAAGTGAGAAATCAAGGACTCTTTAACACGACAAGGTTTTTCCCCTAGAGTGCACTGAGTTACCCACAGAGAAAATACTTGATTTACCAGTTATGTGCTTCATTTTGAAGAATTACTATTCCTAGACTTACTTTTAAAAAAGTCATTATTATTATTGTTGTTATTTTGTTTTTTAAAGACAAGGTCTTGTCATGTAGTTCTTAAACTTATTGTGGAGCCCAGGCTGGCCTTAAATTTGTGATCCTCCTCCGTAGGCCTCCTGGTGAGTGCTGGGATTACAGGAATGCACCACCACAACAAGTTGCAGTTATTATTTTAAATTTTATCCAAATCTATTCCTTTTATTCTAATCTGCAAGTCTCACTTCTCATATAATATCACATCTCTGCTATTTTGGTTAAAAATATCAATAATGAGAAAGTGACATTCTAGAATTATTAATATTTGTATTCTAATATTTTGGTGCCAGTTGATTCCAAGTTCTGATTGTTTACATCTCTATTCTAAAATCTCAGGTTGTCTCTTAAACACTTGTTGGATCAGATTACCTTTTATGTCAGAAATAATCCTTATAAGTTTTTTTCAGTGTTTTGTTTTGTTGTTGAGACAGAGTCTCACTGTGTAGTTCAGGTTGGCCTTAAACGCACTACGTAGCACAGGCTGAACTGGAACTTGTAGTGATCCTCCATCCTTGGAGAAATAGTCCTTATAGTAAAATTTCTGTTTCCGTAAGATTTAATCAAGGACGAGATTTAATAAGATTTCTCCCCCAAATACTTGGTAATAGTTTATTATTCTGATATTAAGATTCTGTAAATATATTTCTATCATCAAAAAAGAATGGTATATGATTGATGTGTTCTGTAGGAAATATTTTATCAATGTCTTCTACTTTTATAATATCAATGTATAGTACTGTTAATACTTTTTAAAATTTTGAGCATATTTGGTTGACTAAAGTGTTTTATTTCTTATACATACAGAAGAAAATGTTTGACTTCTTGCTGAACGCGCACACACACACACATGTTCTTACTAAGTTACCCTGACTGGCCTCTGACTGGCCTTGGACTCTGTCTTCTCACTTCACCCTCCTCCAGTTCTAGGATTACAGGTGTGCCACACTGCCGGTGTCAACTGTATTGAATAAAAGTTCTGAAAATAAAAATTTGGAGCTGGACATGGTGGTGCATGCCTATAATTCCAGCACTCTGAGAGGCTGAGGCAGGAAGAGGCCAAGTTCAAACTCAGCCTGGGCAACTGAGCAACTTTATAAGACCCTGTCTCAAAATAAAAAATGCCAAAAGGGCTAGAGATGTAGCTCACTGCAAAGGCCCTGGGTTAAATCCCCTGTACCAGAAAAACAAACAAAACTAAATAAACTAATAAATTTGGACCGAGAGTAAGGGTCAGTGGTAGAGCACTTGCCTAACATGCAAAGCCTTTGGTTGAATCCTGAGCACTGAAAAGGAGAAACAGCTAATTAAATTTTCTGCCTCTGGGAAAAGAAACTCAAAACTGTACCAGGAAAAATAGTTTCCTAAAATGTCACTTTGCTGTCGTATTTTCTTTCCCAGTCTTTTTTTTTTTTTTTTTTTGTGGAGAAGAGGGAGTTGTTTTGGGGGTATTGAATCCAAGGCCTTGCTTATGCTGGGGAAACACTGTACTACTAGCTATAGCCTCAGCCCACTAATGTTATACTTTTAAAATACATTTTTATATTCTAATGTACACATGAGAATTTGACCCAGTCTTAAAGATTCATTCAGTGTGTCCAATAACAGCAGGTTTAAAAATATGTAAATAGTTAGGCAAGTTTGAGGGCTTGGGAGTTAGCGCATAAGTGCGAGGTCATGAGTTTGACCCCCAGTACCAAAAAAAAATAGAAAAAGTAAAAGAGGGGCTGGGGATTTAGCTCAGCGGCATAAGCACCTGCCTTGCAAGCAGGCAGTTGTGAGTTCGATCCCTGGTACCAATAAAAAGTTAAAACAGAAAAAAAAAAAAAAAGAATCAAAAAGTTTAAAAAATAAATGCAAAAAGGTGAACAACTATATAAAGTTATGTAAAAATGTCAGCAAATTTCATCTCAGAATTAATTCACAATTCTATTGTTTTCAATGGAATTTCCCCCAGATTTTAAGATGTGAAGCACTGAACTGTTACTTTATCTTGAGAGATTATTTTTAAGAGCAACTTAAGAATGTATATCTAAAGTTTCTAGAATGTAATTTGTATAATTTATAACATATTTATAGTTGTCATAGCATGTGGCTTCTAAGTGTATAATTTATTTGAATATAATAGGTATTAATATATTTTATATTAGGATAATAGCAAGGAATTTTTTTGTGTGCTATTTGCATTATTTTAAAAGTAGTTAATACAATAGAAAAGGTATTTTATAATACATAAGACATATTATCATCAGAAGTCTATGCAGGGTGCTAGGTGTGGTGGCACACACCTGTAATCCCAATATTCAGGAGGCTGAGGCAGGAATATCACTGCAAGTTTGAGACCAAGTTAGGCTATAAAGTGAGTTTAAGGCCAGCCTGTACTGCATAGTGAAACCCTGTCTCAAAAAGACAAAAAAAAAAAAAAAAACCAAAAATGTCTGTGCAGCGTAGTTAACTGCCAAATTTTTTGGAAACCTGTTTTCTATTTGCAGTCTCTGAGAGATGACCCTTACTTAGATAACTGAAAAATGATTTCTCAGTTCGGAGGGGATCTTTCCAGCTATATGAATGGATGCAATGGAAATGAGATGAGATTTAGAAGGAAAGAGCAAAAAGCTAGAAAAGTATTTAAGTGCTGGGGGTGTCGCTCAGTGGTAGAATGTGCAAATGCCCTAGGTTTGATCTTCAGCATAAAAAAAAGAAAAGAAAAAAAAAGAAGAAATAAAAGAAAATAATATTTAGCTTCTAACTTAGAGGGACATTTCCATTCATCATTCTTCAGCTTGAAAAATTTAGGTGTGTCGTGTCTTCCTTGTAATTATAAATAGTACATAATTTGCCCTGAACCTTTTTCATTTGTAGGAAAAATTAATGAAAGTTATTCTCTTTTATCTGTATCATAGTTTATTTTGTGAGAAAGAATTAGGCAGATTGAGAGTCAAAGTATGTTTAAAATTTTTTAAGAATCACGTTTGAGGGCCAGGGATATGGCTCAACAGCACAGTGCCTGCCTGGCAAGTGCAAGGTCATGAATTTAATTCCCAGTACCAAAAATAAAATAAAATAAATCAATTTTGAGGACCTTTTTATAAGATCTTATTTTTCTCAAAATCTATTCAGTAGCATGATTTAGTGAATAAAGTAATTGATTGTTTGCCTCCTATACTATTAATGAAATTGAGCAGTTAGAGATTCATACAAATGAAGGATGCTTTGGGAAATTTTAATTATTACCTGATTTGTGTTGATGCTGTTTGGATCAGAATAAGAAACTATTTGATGAATGAAAGAAATTACAGATACTAAAAGTTAAGATTCCAAGAAGAACGTATTTTCATATTATAGTACTTCACTAATAAATATAATTTTGATTATTAATGAGTTGAAGAAAAATATGTTCTATTTCTTTTGCATTAAAACCTGTACATAAGGAAAATTAACTTCAGTAGTTGGAGTTATATCTAAATAGGGCTTCGCATCAACAGTGTTAAATATACTTGACCAAATTAAATGTGAATAGTGTCTTTAATAGAGATGGATTACCCAGAACAGCAGTTCCTAAGTCATACATCATTGCCATATTCTTTATTTGATTACAGTTTTTCTTCCAAAGACTATCATGCTTTGGGATTCATTTGTAGCTATCAAAAATATTTTTTGTTACATGGGCAATTTACTTTGAGCTCAGTAGAATTTTGTGTGAATTTCTACAGAGTGTTTGCCAAAACAAATTACATCTGGAACATGCTTTAACAATATATTGTGGAGGCAGCTTTCATCTGAAATTTGGTTCATCTTCTGAGAGTATTAAAAAGTTAATGGATTTCTGTGCCTGAAGACTTTGACCTTGCACTGGCAACATTTAATCCAGTTTTACTTCTAAATCTTGGAGTCTAAAGGAACTAAATTGCTGCAAATGTGACTCAAACTATTGGAAATTTCTTCTTTTGGTACTATCAGCAGCTCACAAGAGAAAAATCTTGTGTTTAAGTGTGTTCTTGGGTTTAAAGATAAAGAACACATGAAGAGATGTGAACCATAGTTAACAACATAGGACAGAGTAATTAGTAACTGAGCAATATTTTTGGCATACATGCATACAAGCTTGTCCAGGTTGGCCTCTTCTAAGTCTCTTTCATCCTTTCTTCCTTCTTTCTCACTCCCACGTCAAACCTCTTCTGAGGCTCAGGATGTAGCTTCACAATAGAGCATGGAGACAATGATCACCAAGCCCCAAAACAGAAACAAAGTCTGGATCTTCCATGCTGTACTGCCTGGCTGTACCTGGACCTCTCAGATCCTCCAGGGAGCAGAGTAATGGTTATGGGCTGGAGATGAGAGTGCTTAAGTAACTCTTCAGCCTCACCTTACGTAAGATGGTGCCCCCACGGTTTCCTCTCCTTTTGAGTGCCCAGCCTTTATTTTTTCTGGTTGTAATGTTCTGTCTTCTGAATGAGTTCTCATTTCTTTTTCTTGCCTCTCACAAATCCTGTTTTCATCTGGCTGATTTCAGGGAAGTGTTAGAAAAGTAGGCTTGTTAAAATAATTTACTGTGAAGAGGACAACCTCTGTATTGTTTGTTTGTTTGTTTGTTTTGTTTTGTTTTATAATTGCTAATGCAGACTTATCTCTGGATGGATTTTTCAGGAGTTCTTGCGGAAGGAGGAGGTTATACTTTTGGCAGAAGTCTTCTAATTCACTTTGCATGCTGCTGTCCACTTTTCATTATACTGGAGATTGAAACCCAGAGCACTGAGCTACATCTCCAGACCTTTTTTTTTTTAAAGACAGAGCCTCACTAAGTCCTACACCAGGACTCACTAAGTCCAAATAGGCCACCCAGGTTGGCTCAGACTTGCAGTCCTTCTGCCTCAGCCTCCCGGGCAGTTGGGATTATAGGCATGTGGCACCAGGCCCAGCCACTATGAGTTACTAGGGGAAAGAATGTATTTTTACTCATGTTTGTATCTGAGGTGCCTAGCCCAGTGTTAGCCAGAGTAGAAACTCAGAAACATTGTTAAATGAGTTAAAGTATTTGATGGATTCTTGTCTATTACTTTTTGTCTCTGACTGGTTCTGAGGTCTGGACTGATCTTTTCACTTTCATCCCTATATGCAGGCAGCTGACCTGTCTTGAGCTTTGCGCCCCTCTAACTTTGTCCAGCTCCAGGCTTGAGGTCCAGAAAATTCTAGTGTTTCCTTGAGGATAGCAATGACCCGTGGGCTTTGGTTCCCTAGCTTTTGCATATTGCCCTCAGAAGAGCATCATTTCATTCCTCCCCCCAGCTGTGCAAGACCAGGGTATTGGTCTTTTAAGAGCTGGGTAGAATCATGGCAGTTGAGCCTTCCTTAAACTACTGGATAGGCTGGCACATGTGTTAGTACTTTGATGCATGCAGCATGGTTCTCTGAAAGTGAGGTCTGTTCTAGAATTACAGTGAATATTTCTTTCTCAGACTCCTGAAATTCTAGGTAAGTGGTGACTTGTTCCTCCTCTTCGATGGTCACTGGATAGGGCAAAAAAACCAACACAATACCTAAATGGAAATTCATCCAGTTGCCAAATAATTGCCACATAATAGGAAAATCCACTGCCTTTTCATCAGGTTGCTAATTTCTGGGTTGTATTTGTTGTGGATTCCCTGAATGTTTGGGGACCAGGAGTTGGTTCCTATAAGTGGCAAAGCCCTTTTGGAGCTGGAACTGTTGTAATGTTCTTATTTATTTCTATACTGAGATCAACTACTTGGTTAAGAGCTTGCCATGTCTGAGTATTGCCATTTTAGTATTCTTGATGAGAGGGTCTGTTTGTTTATTTTCTAATACTTGTCTCAGTGTCTTATTCCTCTGAGCCATGGGACCAGAATGCTCTTTTCAGTTTTGTGTGGAAAGTATTGTAAAAGCAATGCTAGTTACTTAATTCCTAAGTTTAAATTTTATGTTTGAATTATTTATACATTTATATGTAATTTTTGATGTAATATGACAGTATATATGAAAATTAAATGGCTTTTGATTAAGTGCAGCAAATGACTCTGGTTGTTCTGTTATTAGTGGAGTGGAATTACTTTAAGAAACATATAAGGGTAATAAGATTTATATCCTGTAGTCTTTCCTACCTAATAAGTCTTTATTACAAATATAAGATTTTCAATCTAAAAATTTTTTTGAGTCTTTGTTACCCAGACTCATCTCAAAGTTGTGTGCCCAAGTGATGCCTCCATCTCAGCCCACTAAGCAGTTTGGTCTGCTGGGAATGTGCCACCATCCCCAGTTTGAAAATGCAAGATTTGGGGCTGGGGATTTAGCTCAGTGGCATAAGCACCTGCCTTGCAAGCAGGCAGTCGTGAGTTCGATCTCTGGTACTGATAAAAAGGAAACAGACAAAAAAAAAAAAAAAAAAAAAAAAGAAAATGCAAGATATATATTTTTACTTGGGTTGAGATATAAATAGTCCTTATCTGTTTATGTGTGTTCATTACTTAGTGAATTCCTCTAAATGTTGCCTCTTTTTCATGCATGTATATATGGTCACAGGGCTGAAAATTTGGCATTGAAATCATTAACCAAGTGACCTCTCATTGTTTTTGTGGCAGAAGTAGAAAAAAAAAAGGCAACATTAAGATTTATCTTAGTGGTGGTGCAACCCTGTAACCACAGCTATTTGGGAGACTAAGACATAAAGATCACAAGTTTTAGGCCAGCCTGGATAACTTGCAAGATCCTGTCTCAAAATTTAAAAAAATATAGAAAGAGGTGGGTTTATTGTTCCCTGGATTCGATTCCGAGTACTGAAGGAGAAAAAAGAAAAAAAAATTTTGTTTTATTAATACTATATAAAGTTGCATTTTCTATCTTTGCCTTATGTGGCTTTATTTGATCTGGAGTCCACTAATTTCTTTTGGTTTTAAACTTCTTCCTATTGTCTTGACTGAAATAAATTTTCCCAAACACATGTGATGAAGGAGCTGAGACTATAAATTTGAAAATAAGTTGAATTATTCTGTAATTGAGTTCACCAAACATTTATACATTATCCTGTTTCAAGAATGTGCAGTCACACTTCGTTTAACAACAGGCCTAGGTTGAAAAGTGAGTCTTTAGGCAATTTTGTTGCTTGAACATCGTAGAATGTACTCACACAAACCTGGATCAGATAGCCCATTACCTACGTAGGCTAGACAGACAGTATATGGTAGGGCACAGCTTACTGCTCTAGGGGCTGTAAGCTTGTCAGTTAACATGGCATGTAATTTTACAATAAAGTTTTGTTATAATGCCAATTCAACATACCAGAACTTATGGAGCACAACAAAAGCAGTCCTAAGATGAAAGTTTATAGCTGTGAATACCCACATCACAAAAATAACACGGGCTCAAATAAATAACCTAATGATATACTTCCACGTCCTAAAAAAACCAAGAACAATCCAAATTCAAACCTAGTGCAAGAAGAACATTTTTAAGAGCAGAGCAAAAATCAATGGAAATTGAGACAAAATAATACAAAGAATCAGCTGAAGAGTCAGTTCTATAAACAAAATAAACCATTAGTCCATCTAATAACAACACAACAAAGACCCAAATTAATACAATTAGAAATGAAAAAGGTGAAAATTACAGTGGACACTGGCAAAACCCAAAAGGTTATTGACTACTTCACTAACCTGTACACCAAGAAGTTGGAGAATTCAAGAGAAATGGGTAGATTCCTAGATACATAGGAATTATTAAAATGGAACCGAGACACTTTAAAAACGCTGAATAATCCAGTAGCGGGCAATGAAATTAAAGCAGTGATTAAAAAACTTACCAACTTACTAAGGAAAATTCCAGGCCCGTCTTCACTGCTAAATTATATGTAAACCCCAGGGAAGGTCTAATCGCAACACTCCTCAATAGTTCTTTAATGAAATTGAAGGGAAAGAAGTGCTCCCAGAGTTATTCCTGGACACTAGATTACTTGATTCTAAAACGACAAGGATTCAGCAACAACAAAAAACTAGATCAATCTCTTTAATTAATATAATGTACAATCCTCAACAAGAAACTGGCAGACAGAATGCAACAAATCATTAAAAAGATCAGACATCATGACCAAGCTTCATCCCAAGCACGCAACGATGGTTCAGTGTACACAAATCAATAAATGTAATACAGAAACAGAACCAAGGAGAAAAATCACAGGATCGTCTCAATAGATATAGAAAGGTAAAACGTAGCAGCACAAGTGCATGTCTGGCAAGTATGAGGTCTGAGTTAGATCCCAGGTACCAAAACAAATAAACAAACCCAGAAAAAGCCTTTGGCAAGTACTTTCATGATGATAACATTGAAGAAAATAGGGATAAGATCTTATCTCAATCTGATAAAAGACATTTATAACAAGCTTACTGCCAGCATCATAGTAAATGGGGAAAAACTGAAGGCCCTCCTTGTAACCTCAAGAACAAAACAAGAATGCCCACTATGGTCATTCCTGATCAACATAGTATGTAGTACATTGGTATGAGCAATCAGGCAAGAAAAAGAAATTAGTGGGATATAGATAGGAAAGGAAGAAGTCAAATTATCATTATTTATAGATGACCTGGTCCTTGACAGTGAAACCAGGCCGGGCATGATGGCATGTGCCTGTAATCCAAGGATTTGGGAAGCTGAGGCCAGGGAATCTCAGAGTTGGAGGCCATTCTGGGGTACATAGTAAATTCAAGGCCAGCCTGAACAACATGGTGAGACTCTTGTATCAAACAAACAAACAAATACACAAAAAACAAACTCAAAAAGTCCACCAGAACATTCTCAGAATTACTGACCAAATTCAATAAAGTAGCAGGATACAGAATCAACACAAAAATCAATAGAATTAGCCTGGTATGTTGGCTGAGGCAGGAGGATTGCTGTGATTTTGCACCAGCCTCAACTACACAGTTAAAGGCGAGCCTGAACTACATAATAAGACCTTGTATCAAGAAACAAACAACAGGGCCGGGGATTTAGCTCAGAAGTATAAGTGCCTGCTTGGCAACATGAAGTCATGAGTTCAATCCCTAGTACAAAAATAGAAAAAAAAAATCTGGTAGTGTTTCTGTACACTAATAATGAACCCACTGAGAGGTGAATTAGAAAAATAGCATTTCCAGTAACCCAAAGAAAAATTAAATACCTTTCTTAGGATTAATCTAACTAAGGAAGTAATAGACCTCTATAGTGAAAACTAAGGTACAGTCTGAAAAATTTCATTAAAAATTTCAGAAAATGGAAATACGTCCTCTGCTCCTGGACAGGCAGAACCAGTATAGTGGAAATGGCCATATTTCCAAAATTGATATACAAATTTAAATGCAATCCTCATCAAAATACCAATAGTATTCTTTACAGAAATGGAGAAAACAATCCTAAAATTTGTATGGAACCAGATGAAATCAGAATAGCAAAAAAAAGCAATCCAGATAACAAGAGCAGAGCAAAAGGCATCACAATTCTGGACTTGAAGTTATAGAATAAAGCCACAGTGATAAAAACAGCATCATACTGGCACAAAAAACAGATATGGGGATCCAGTGGAACAGAAACACAGAAACCACCCCAAGTATATTCAACTATTTGATCTTTGACAAAGTGGCCAAAAATATTCACTAGAGGAAAGATAGCCTCTGTTATAATGGTGTTGGGACAAGTGGCTGTCCACATGCGGGAGACTAAATCTAGACCCATTTCTCTCACCATGTACTAAACTAAAGTCAAAATGGATCAAACAGCTTGAAACAACGGGCAGGCAAGGACTTTCTGAAGAAACTCCAGTATTGCGGGAGACAGTACCAAGAATCAACAAATGGGATCATATCAAACTAAAAAGAAACAACCAATTGAGTGAAAAGACAACCTACAGAACAGGAAAAAATTTTGCCAGCTATTACTCAGCCAAAAGACTCATTCCTAGTATGTGTAAAGAAATCAAAACATGTAGACCTCCCCAAATAAAAGGGTACTCAAAAAAGAGCAAGCGAAATGAATAGACTCCTCACAGAAGAAGTACAAAGGACCAGTAAGTATATGAAGAAATGCTCAACATCTCTGGCCATTAGAGAAATACAAATGAAAACAACACTGAGATTCTATATTAGCCAAGAAAGAATGAGTGTCATTAAGACGTTAAATGCTGGTGGGGCTGTGGGGCAAAGAAAACCTTCTGCACTGTTGGTGGGAATGTAAGCTAGTACAATCACAGTATGGAGAGCCTCAACAAACTAAAAGATCCATTTGACCCAACTATTCCCCTTGTAGTAATCTTTACAAAAGTGTTAAGGCACCATATTACAGTGATATGTGCATTCCCATGTTTATGGCAGCACAGTTCATAATAGCGAAATCTTGGAAGCCACTAGTATGTCCACCAATAGAAGAATGGATAAGGGAAATGTGGTATTTACACACATGCAGTACTGCTCTGCTCTACAGAAAAATTATCCTGGGTCATTTATAGGAAAATGGATGCACTTGTCAAGTGAAATAAACCAGACACACAAGCGGGTTGTCAAGGACTCTGTCTTTTCCAGGGACTTCTATAGAGTACCGTCCCAGTCCACAGTCTATGAAGCAAAGGCAAACTCACCTCTATCCAGTGATCTCAGGGGAAGACCTCCAAATGGTACAGGGGAATGAAATTCCCAACCTACTATGTCTGGTAGGAGCTTGTGTTCTCTAAAATCAAAGAATGAATTTTAGGAACAATGGAGGTTAAGAGCAGAATATATTTATTGAGCAAAAGAAAGCTTCTGTCTGAAGAAAGGCAGAAGGGGTCCTGAGCAGGTTGCCCAAACTCAGGGCTTTAAAAAAAAATTTTTTTTTTAAATTTAGGACAGTGTCATACTACATCATTAGTTGGCCAAGCTGGGCTTGAACTTGTGCTCCTCCTGCCTCAGCCTCCCAGAGTGCTGAGATTACTTGCACCTTTTCTGATGTTAGTGTATCTGTATTTTAGGTCCCTTTTTATTGTTCTGCAGCTCTGTTGTTATAACTTGTTATTG